AAATGCTAAGAAACGACAAAACACCCGTTGACAGGAGGCTGATCCCAGGTGTATACAGAATACCGTTGTATGATAGGAGGCTAAATAAGGAGTTATATTATATAGGAGCCACTAAAAGATCATTAAATGAAAGATTGAAGGAGCACAAAAAGAATGTAAGCTTTAAACAACCAGTCACGGCTTTGGCCAATTACGCGATAGCAGATCCAACAGAGATCGACATCAAATGGAGCAAGGCAGATGTCATACAAAAAGTGAAAAATATAAAACATCTAAAATATGCAGAAGCCTGGCACATTTACAAGAGCAAAGAAAAAGGGCGTAATATAAATTTCCGTGAATCGAACAAAATAGCGTCGGCATGGAAAGCGGCAACTTTAAAATTATAAAATTATATTTATGAGCATGCGCAATCGAGAAGAACGTGCAGTTTGGAATCTCCGTTATGCAAATTTGAAATATATTTCGATTGATAATTCGACCCTGATGAAGGTTTGTGAATCAGACCGAAAACGTTCGACAGATGTAAACTAGACTGCATTTTAAAGGTATAGTGAATTTTTGTCCAATGTACATGTTTTTACATTTAAAACTTCAGTCTCAACCTCGCTATTATTATAAATATTTTTATTAATGATTAAATATTAATACATATAACATAACTCCATTTAGACTGTCTTCAGTGGTGCAATTATACATTTCACATCATTTTACAAAATATTATATATACAGTATATAAAACCTCAAATGTTAATCTCTGTATCTAAAAAATTTTAATGAAAAATAATTAATATAGACTAGTGTAATTTAAAATAATTCATAGCAAATTAACAACAAAATACCTTTAAAGAACAATAGGCACTTTTCTTTAAGAGTTAAAGGTTAAACTTAGATTCCTCATAATACATAAAACACATCTGTCTAAGTGGCCATTCACTAATAAGGTGAGATCATGGCATAATTTCAAAAATGCTGTTTGAAGAAACAAATGCTTGTGTAACTATTTCATACCAGAACTTTCTAAAAGTGAAAACTCTATTCTTGCTTTTGTTTATGCACTATTTTGCAGTTAAAAGTTTAATTAATTTTTACTTATTTGTCTCATCAATTTTATTTAATAAACATTGTTTTTGTTCTGAAGAATGTCATCTACTAATTTTGCTGTAATATTTTTCCTGAGAGATTTAGGATTTTCAAATAATGTTCTTCCTATCCTATTTTGTTTTTTGTATGAAATTTGCTTCCACTCAAACATTTGATATCAGTGAATGAGTAAGCATCAAATGAAGCCAATGTAACTTTTATTATATTAATAATCTATATATACATATAATTATAACATAATTTTTTTCAATTCTTTCTCTTCTAACAGTCAATTATATTTGAATGATCAGTTTGAATTTGTAACAAATTATTTCAGAAAATTCATACTCCTTTTTTTCATATTATAGTGAAGCAAAAATCTGAACATGAAAAATCTAAATTTGACCATTGAAAAATCAATATTAATTTACAGTTATATTTGAAAATCTGGACAAATTGAAAATCCAGATAGGTCCAGTCTCAATTAGCATAGATTTTCAATAATTTATTGTAGTTTGAATAATCATATTTTCCACAATAAAGCATAATAAAATATTTTATTATTAAAATTTAAAGTAAAATATCAATATAACTAGTATTTTATTACCATATTTTGATTTTCTAACAAATAATAATCTAAGTTTAGCTTTTTCTTTTAAAGTGAAAAATATGTATTAAAAGTTTATACATTGAACTGTATAACAGAATTAACATTTTTGAACAATTTATTCTTTTATTCTAAGTAAGTCTTCTGAAACTGAACTCTACATAATTTGAAAACATTTTAATTTTTAATGTAAGCCCTTTCTTTGTGAAAAATATGAGTGATATTTCAAGTACTAAGTATTTCATTTCATATTATGTCAATTTTATTGTATTGTCATAACTGAAGTTGCATACTGATGCAAAGTTTTTAATTTGTTTTTTCATGTATTAATATTATAAGAATTGATAATCAATTAAATTAAAGTGTCAATAAATTTATTATTATTAAATTTAAATAATAATTATCTGTATTTGAGATTATATATTTATATCATCTAAAATAGATATAAACAACAACTCATAACTAAATTTTAACTAATTCAGCCAAACCATTTTTCCATAATTAATTTAATTAATAATTTTGTCAAGATCGTTTGGCTTAATCATTTAAATCATTTATAATCCTTGATTATTATAATAATAATGTAAATTATATGCTACTTTTTAAAAAAATTTATACTTACTTTTTCAAGAAAATCTGGTAGAGCCTTAGGAAGAACCAGCTTCATTAGGCCATAAACACCAGAATAATGCTTATTTGGTATCCAAGAAACTTCATTTTGTAAATTATCTGCTAAATAGAAGCTTACTTCCACTAGAAAAATAATTAAAAAAGAAAAATGTAAAATAAAAACTTCGAAATTCAGTAAGAATTGTAGTAAATGACAAATTTCTAATTGACAACACAATTTAAATTCTACAAAATTTAAAATAAAAATCTTCTAGCTTATAAATATTCTTTCTACAATAGTCTGTAATTTATTATTATTTATCATTTTATTTTTCTGATAGTTAAGTGTATTTTTGAATTTTGGTTACACTTCAATTTGAATATAAAAATTTAAATTTTTAAAAATAAATTCATGAATGTGAAAAACATTTCAAATGTTTATTCCAAGAATGATTGACATTTGATACATTTATGCAAATAACTTTCTGAATTTGAATCGGCTGTTATTCAAATCTAGCCAAAAGATCTTTTACACGTTTGCAAGTATATGGAAAATTTTAATAATAAGTTTTAAATATTAAAAAAATATATATATTACAAACCTCCAGGTACACCCCAGGTATTAAACAGTGTTTGTAGAATTAACTGAGCCACAGAATCAGAAATAAAATGAAAATGCAAAGGATTTTTCCTATAAAAAAGAATACTTTTAATAAGAGTCACAACTGAACGACTGGAATTGTAGCCTGCGCAGACAATGGCTATATGTATAATTTCGCATTTTGGTACTTCTGGTTCTTGATTCAAGCAGAGAATTGATTTTTGATTAACTGTAGGATGTCTGTTTCCACTTTCAGATGCATTATCATCAGATTGCTGAGCTTCTGACATAATGTTAAGAAGATGTGTTTGAGACAAACTGAAATAAAAATTTCATATGGATAAATAACACAGATTATTAGAACAAGTATTAAAATATTTATTTTGATCACAAAAAATTATCAATATTTTTTAAATGAACAAGCTTTAGCCATGTTATTCTTTTAGAGAAATAAATAAATAATGATTACATTTTCAGTTATGTAAATTGAATCATCTTAACAAATTTAATACTAATATCAACTGCATAAGACAAAACGAATAGAAGATTGTAATTAAAAAATGAGAAGTCATAAAATAAACTAATTTTTTCCCTATGAAGCTTTGTATACTTAAATATTGTACTTAAATAATTGTATTTATTAAACTTAAGTAAAATTTGATTTTGTTGATCATATTAATATATTAAACAATTACAATTCTTAATATGAAACAGGCAAAATTATTTAATATATGTTGTTATACATTGTTTGGAATAAATTGCTATGTTTTAATATAAATTTCTCATAGAATAAATGTAGAAAATTACAATGAAAAATAATTATTACATTTGTTATTTCATCAAAGTAGGGAAAAGTTCATTTTAGTATAAAAAATGAACACTCAGTATCTATTCAAACAATAATCAATCTATTATAAAAAATATTAATTTAAAAATAGTATATGTAAGTGAAGACAATCAAAATCCATTTAGAATTTGAAAATGAAAGTAATTTGCCTGCAAAATATGTTTTGAACAAATTATTTATAAATTATTCTTTTTCAGTTATCATAATTAAAAGGTTACAAAATCATGCACATTGTTAGTGATATAAAAATAAATAACATTACAGTAATATTTTTTTGTGAAAAACAATAAAATAAAAATTTATCTATAATATTGTAACATTAAATGAATGCATTATCATAATTGGTTTAAGCTAATATGTACTTCAGACTATAAATTATTAAAAAAAATAATATTTTTTCTTTAGGAAATTTAAGCTTTTTTATCTTAAAGAAAGACTTCTTCCACTAAAACATTTTATTAACAAATACAGGGTAATACTGATATTTAATTCATGCAAAACTTTAAACTTTAATAACTTTTCAACTATATGAGATAAAAAAGAAAACTCAAAAAGCATATTATACAGAATTTAATGAATTAGGATTCCAAAATGACTAATTTGCTCACAATAATGGTTTTTAACTAATTTTTGAAACATTCAAATAGTAATTAAGGTCTTTCTTGGAATAACCATTATTTCTTTTTTTTTTTGTATCTATCAACACAAATAGTTTGTAGGAGCATTATGATATACTCTGTCTTTAAGATAACCCCATGAAAAGAATCCACACATATTTAAGTTGGGGCTATAAGGCAGCTACTCGATGCCACCACCAGCATATTTTTCATATTCGAATCCAATTACACACTTCTCAAACATACTGTAACGTTTTGAACACTTGTTTCATGAGACAGGGCCTTGAATGAACCAAATCATGATGATGTTTATACCCAACAAGCATTTTGGGATAAAACATCTTTTCCAATAATTCAACATATGCAGCAGAAGTAATATTATTTTTGAAGAATGGTCCAATAACTCTGCTAGTATTGATAGCACACCAATTGAAAAATTANTCTTTTACACGTTTGCAAGTATATGGAAAATTTTAATAATAAGTTTTAAATATTAAAAAAATATATATATTACAAACCTCCAGGTACACCCCAGGTATTAAACAGTGTTTGTAGAATTAACTGAGCCACAGAATCAGAAATAAAATGAAAATGCAAAGGATTTTTCCTATAAAAAAGAATACTTTTAATAAGAGTCACAACTGAACGACTGGAATTGTAGCCTGCGCAGACAATGGCTATATGTATAATTTCGCATTTTGGTACTTCTGGTTCTTGATTCAAGCAGAGAATTGATTTTTGATTAACTGTAGGATGTCTGTTTCCACTTTCAGATGCATTATCATCAGATTGCTGAGCTTCTGACATAATGTTAAGAAGATGTGTTTGAGACAAACTGAAATAAAAATTTCATATGGATAAATAACACAGATTATTAGAACAAGTATTAAAATATTTATTTTGATCACAAAAAATTATCAATATTTTTTAAATGAACAAGCTTTAGCCATGTTATTCTTTTAGAGAAATAAATAAATAATGATTACATTTTCAGTTATGTAAATTGAATCATCTTAACAAATTTAATACTAATATCAACTGCATAAGACAAAACGAATAGAAGATTGTAATTAAAAAATGAGAAGTCATAAAATAAACTAATTTTTTCCCTATGAAGCTTTGTATACTTAAATATTGTACTTAAATAATTGTATTTATTAAACTTAAGTAAAATTTGATTTTGTTGATCATATTAATATATTAAACAATTACAATTCTTAATATGAAACAGGCAAAATTATTTAATATATGTTGTTATACATTGTTTGGAATAAATTGCTATGTTTTAATATAAATTTCTCATAGAATAAATGTAGAAAATTACAATGAAAAATAATTATTACATTTGTTATTTCATCATAGTAGGGAAAAGTTCATTTTAGTATAAAAAATGAACACTCAGTATCTATTCAAACAATAATCAATCTATTATAAAAAATATTAATTTAAAAATAGTATATGTAAGTGAAGACAATCAAAATCCATTTAGAATTTGAAAATGAAAGTAATTTGCCTGCAAAATATGTTTTGAACAAATTATTTATAAATTATTCTTTTTCAGTTATCATAATTAAAAGGTTACAAAATCATGCACATTGTTAGTGATATAAAAATAAATAACATTACAGTAATATTTTTTTGTGAAAAACAATAAAATAAAAATTTATCTATAATATTGTAACATTAAATGAATGCATTATCATAATTGGTTTAAGCTAATATGTACTTCAGACTATAAATTATTAAAAAAAATAATATTTTTTCTTTAGGAAATTTAAGCTTTTTTATCTTAAAGAAAGACTTCTTCCACTAAAACATTTTATTAACAAATACAGGGTAATACTGATATTTAATTCATGCAAAACTTTAAACTTTAATAACTTTTCAACTATATGAGATAAAAAAGAAAACTCAAAAAGCATATTATACAGAATTTAATGAATTAGGATTCCAAAATGACTAATTTGCTCACAATAATGGTTTTTAACTAATTTTTGAAACATTCAAATAGTAATTAAGGTCTTTCTTGGAATAACCATTATTTCTTTTTTNTCCGATTATAAAAAAAAAAACGTTATAATAGAATAACTTAACTGTATTTTCCTTCGAGAGATGGCGACTGCATCAAATTCCGTATTAATGTAACGAAATAAAATGATTTTAAAATATTTCAAACTTTAATTAATTAATTAAGCAATTAAAATTGTTTAAAAAACGTATGAATTAATATTTAATTGAATCGAAAGCTGATTGGTTAATTTGTTGCAAAAAGTTTGTCGAAATAAAACAATAAACCAATAAGCTTCGAATGTAATTGATCTATTTCGGTTTCCGATCAAATTAAGAAGTTGATTGGTTATTGAACTTTCTTGGATAATTAAATAATATTATTTAATTGGTTTATTACTTATGACGTTTAGAAAAATAGATAATTTCTAATTTTAATCTGATTTTTAAAACACAGTTCAATTGTGTAATTAATTAATTATATGCAGTAAAGAAAATTAGTTTGTTGTAAATTTATGTGATAGATGGACTTATTAGTCATTTGCTGTAATTTTAATAAAGTTTCTAAGATATTAAATTGCTAATGTAATTAACCATAATAAACATATCTCATCAGGGGATTGAAGGTAAAGATTTTAAAATAATCGTATTTAAATGAGAAAATACTGTTGTTAAAGCATAAATAAATTCAATATGTTAAGAGTAAACAAGAGCTTGTAGAATTTTTATGAAAATTATTCAGATTTGGCATGTAAAACATTGACTTTTGATTTACTCGTGAATAACTCTGAAATAATTGCTTTGTTATTATAATTCTTATTATTCAAATGTACTTTCTATCCACATAAAAATTACTTTAATCATTCAAATCATTATAAAACATGAAATGAATTTGGAAAATTCAAAATAAAAAAAATTTATATAACAACCTAAGCTGTCGACGCAATAATTGATTTTGTTCCTCGACTTCTCGAACGCGTTCTGCTAATTTTGCCTCTCTACGTGTGAAGCCCAAGAAATTACCAGTTGCAATATCTAAAAGTTTAAAGTTAAAAGATTTTAACAAAATTCTGTAAATAATGTTAAAAATATTATATATATGACACATATCTACACTAAACAATACCATTTCTGGTTTGAAAATATTTGTGAAGTACTGTTTTTTCATTCTTTTCATTTTTTTGATTTGAGTTTTCAGTAACAGGCTTTGGTACCTAGTTTTATGACACATATTTAAGACAGTCATTTTTACAAAAGAGACTTCAAATAAAACAATTTTTGCAGATTAGGCAAGAATTTCCATTTTATGTGAAATCCATTTTATACAGTAGAATCCCAGAAACTTGACTCACAACAACTTGACATTCTGTAAAACTTGTCAAGTCATCCAAAAATAAACATTTAATCTAATTTTTATCTTTATAACTTAACACTAGAATCAAATAAGTTATCATTCTTCACTGAACACATTTGATAATAGCATCAATTCCACATGTCAACAAAGAATATCTCCCTTTTTCTAAGGTGCCACTGTAAAACACCATGATGCAGATGTTACTAACTCAAAAGCAGCCACTGAATAGCCAATATTTTTTTTAATTAAAATTTAATGACAAATAGAAATTGTCATTATTGGTACATAGTTAACATATGTATATGAACTTGCACATATAATACCTTTATGAAAATTCTGCTAATTAGACTAGTATTACCATCTATACTAATATTATAAAGAGGTAATGTTTGTATGTATGTATGTATGTATGTAAGTTTGTTTGCAGCAGGTAATCTCCGAAACTACTCATCTGATTTCAAAAATTCTTTCACCAATATTTAGAATGGAACCTCAGGGTAGACATAGGCTGTATATTATTCTGTTAAACATTCATATAAATTAAAATATATAATCTAGGTTAAGGCTTTTATGTCCAACAGATGGCGCTACGAGTACGACGCCCTAAGTTTGCTTTTCTGTGAGGCATTATGCTTTTGTGTGAAAATGAACTAAACCAGATCATCTTCTATCTATTTATATAAATAAAAATGTAATGTTCGTTTGTTCCTACCGATTCCTTGAAATTTTGACACAACGCTTCATTCGAATACGCACGTGTCTTTATATAATATACGTGTCGAAATTCCCCTCCACTGAAGGGAGATGGTTAGGATTAAGGCTTACAGTAAAGAACTTGGCTTCTATTATATTATTGTAGATGCGGGTTTTTGCGTTTTTGATTGCGTTTTAATAGGGTACGTCAAGAGAATGTACACTAAAAAGAAATTTTTCGAAAAATTTCCCCCCACGGGGGAAGTGTTATACATTTATAATAGATACATTTTGAGCCACAACAACGCATGGCGGTGTCTGCTAGTTATACTATAAATCACATCACTGGCTCAGTCCACATTAAGTCAAGTTAGCAAGACTAATAATTTCATGAAAACAGATATTTTTATATCCTAAATTATTAAAGGATATGATTTATGTAAATTTAATCTATAATTTTAATTTCAAATTTTAATTCTACATTAATTCAACATGCAATGTTGTAAACAGATTTACAGATGGTTTCTTCCAAAATATTTTGTATAGCAACCTTTCTAATGCTAACTTTTTACATTACATTCTCTATAAAAGTTAAAGTTATGTTATTTAATTACTAATAGACTAATTTAATTAAGAATAAATTTCTGGTATTAATCCAAAAAGAATGAAATAAAAAAAAATTAATTTATGCTTTAAACTTTTTCTTTGGTTGTCATCATGTTAAATGTTTAATTAAACTATAATTAAAATTAATTAGTATAGCTTTAATTCTTAAATATGATTTGATATTAAAGTAAGTGATGGAAATTATACTGAATTAAAATCAATACTTATATAAAAATTTGTCAACTAAAAACAAATTAGAAGTTGCTTTTACTATATAATAAAAGTAAATTTGAAAGATTTCACTACCATTGTCATTATCATCACTTACCTTGCTCAGTTGTTGCTAAGTATAAAATCATTAATACTGGAAATCCACATATTACAACAATAACAGCTGTATTTAATCGCCTCCTTCTCATTTTTGATAACCAACCTACACAACCCATATATATTGGCAGGAACCACTGCTACCTTCCATGGAATTGCATCCACGGCATTGTACTTTCTAATATGTAAAAAGTTGCATTGCATACCTAAGAGTAGAGAGATTTCTCAAAAACATTAATTCTTATGTCAATAGAATATTTTATTTAATAATATAAAATATTTACAGAAAAATGCATTATTTTAAATTAGACACAGATAAATTATACTTTATTTAAATTCTTATTTTAAATGCTTTAGAAAGAAATTAGTTTATTATGAAATTTGGAAATTATTGGTACAATATTACATGCATTGTAATCATTCCATCAGTTTAGTAGTTCTATAATTTAGGTATAATAAAAGAATAATTGAATTTAAAAATAAAAACACATACAATAATCTTTTAATAGAAAAAAAAAGTCTAAAAAAATATCTTTGAAGAAGTTTTTATAAAGAATCTAATTGTACCAGTTCATAACATTCAGTTTTGAGTTATAAAAATTAGATATAATGCTAAAAATATTAAATTTTTTTTGTTTATATAAACCTAACTATTCTCCTAGTATGAGTTTATGAATTTCAGTATAAATCTTATTATTTTTTCTGCTATTCCATTTTTTGTCTGAACAGTCTTCTGAATATTCTTATAAATATGACATTTTTGTAACGCATCCTTTCCTGAAATTCTATATATAGAAAACAACTTATCAGAAACTATCTTTGTCTCATCAACTTTATCATATAATACTCCTCTAAATTATTTTCTTGACAGCAATTATTTGGTAATAGTAATGAATTAAAAAATAATTAATGAATATTACTTAAACCTAACTAATTTCCTTTTAATTATCTTTATTTTTATATCACTCAATATTCTGAAGAGAATGATGAGTCTATTTATCTAAACCATAAGAATTCTTATTGATATACATTAATTAATTAAAAAAAAAGGCAAAGTTAAAAATGCAGAATAATTTTTGCAATCATAAATGAATTAAAAATGTAAAATTTGCAAGTTTTATCCGATCAAAATATTATCAAAGATAGCGTTTCAGAAGAATCATGACAAAACATATGACTACGTAGTATCTAATAATAAAGTGATTTAATGAAAATTTTAAAATGCCACAATTGGATTGTGACTTCTTGCACATGATGGAGAACTATGCAGAGGACAACCTGTCACTACAAATCTGGCATAACAATTTACTTCCACATCAGTGTCAATATTTTTTGAAACATCCAGTATATACTATATACATAGCTATTTTGAGAATAGCATTAAATGATAGCAATTATTTAATGAATTCTAAATTCGTTCAAAGACAATACTAAAATTAATAATTAATCATTAAATTTTTAATATGTGATTCTTTGATATAAAAGTTCTTTATAATTAAATGATCATAACTCCTTACAAAAACAATGTTAAGAAATCGTAACAGCAATGAGAAATCAGAATTTTAAAAATACTTGATTTTAATTAATTAATTTAATTAAAATTACTGTATTTAATAAAATAAATAAATTAAAGCATTGCTTTGTGCCACCTTGCTTATGTGGCCCTGAAATTCTGTAAAACTGCACAAATTTTAATATAAATCAAGCTCCGTATTGGTGGCCATTTCAATTAAATGACCATTTCACTTAAGTACCTAAGATAGTGTTCTAAAGTAACATTTATCTCCATTTTTGTGCTCAACAGAATGAGGAAACCCAAATTACTAAACTCAACATTTTGTTTAAAGTACTTGAAATGAAATTGAACTAAATTGCTATAGGATGCTTTCAATTACTAAAGACCAAAGTGCTGTTGCTTATCAAGAGAATTACTCTGCTTAATAAAATGGCTGTCAATATTTGATAGTTACAAGCATTAACATCAAACATTTTGATGTTGCTAATACAGTATTGTAAAAATGAGAATAAAGTAAGTTAAATATTAATGATATTAATTCCATACCTATATTACTTCTTAGTTTAAGCTATTGATAAACTAGCAGGTTTTTACCTTTGATTCAAATTAAACAACATAAAGAAGTCTTACTTTCATTCAATTAGTAAGTTAATTCATTACAAAATATATCACTATAATGTATCTTTATCAGATATATATATCTGATAAAGATACATTATAGTGATATATTTTGTAATAGGTCATGGTCATAGGTCATGGTCTGCCAATAAAATAAACTCTGGAGTTTAAGTTGCATTCCTATCAGACAAATCGTAGAGACTGAAGACGACCTTGACCCAATATACTCCAAAGCCCAAATCCGAGATTTACAGAGACGAGATCCAAAATGGAATCCTATAATTCAGCAACTAGAAGATGAAACCGCACAAGATCCAAATCTTAAGAACCAATTCTTCCTAGATGAGGAAGGAGCTCTTTATCATTTACAACCTAGCAATCAAGGAGACTTCCTAGAACAATTAGTTATTCCATCCGTATTGATTCCATATATACTACATACTTATCATGATACTCCTGTCGGAGGACATTTGGGAGCACGAAGAATGCAACAAAAACTCCAGACTTTATTTTATTGGCAGACCATGAACAAAGACATAAAAACTCATTGCCAAGAATGTCAACGATGTGCTATACACAAGCGAAAGGACAAACGAACAGAAGCTGAACTACAGTTATTCTCTCCCCTCACACATTTATTTGAACGGACGGCTATGGACATTATCGGTCCTTTGCCTATTACAACCAACGGAAATAAATACATCCTAGTTTTTGTGGACCATTTCAGCCGATATGCAGAAGCGATACCTTTACCCGATATTCATAGCAAAACTATCGCCAAAGCCTTCGTTACCAACATTGTTTTACGCCATTCAACTCCTGTACAACTTCTTACAGATCGAGCCCCAAATTTAATCTCCAAGATGTTCAAGGAAGTATGCGAATTGCTTCATATTAAGCGACTTCTTACAACCGCTTATCACCCTGCATGCAATGGGATAGTTGAAAGATTCAATAAGACCCTTGTTGATATTATCTCACACTATGTAGCCAAAGACCAAAAGGACTGGGATGAATGGATTCCCTACGCCTTATTTGCATATAACACTACCGTCCACGCTTCTACGAATGACAGTCCATTCTTTCTGTTGTATGGACGAGATCCAATTTACCCCTTTGACCTTATCACCCGTCCGACCAGAACTAAATACGATGTAGAAGATAACTTCGCATCGGAACTCCACCTTCGAATGGCCAGTGCCCATCAATTAGCACAAGAATATGCCGAAGCAGCAGCCAGAGAACGTCAAAAAATACATCGCCGAACTCATAAAATTCCTACATATCAGGTAGGCGATCGAGTCTTCCTTAATGAAGTTGTCCTACCTCAAGGGTTAAAAAGGAAATTAGCACCCCGATGGTCCGGCCCATTTCGTATCATATCCAAATTAAGTCCTGTCACGTTCCTTATTGAAAATATTCAAACGAAGAAACAACTCCAAGTTCATGCTAATAGATTGAAACATTGCACCGCTAGACAAGAATTCGAAAGGTCAGAAAGTTTAGACCGATCTCCTACACCAACATCTACACAACCTAAGGTATTATCCCGCCAACCTTCCCTAAGTGCAGACCCATGGGACGAATTTATCCTCACCGAAATTCAACCACAACCAGAAACGGACTTAGAATCAGAGGAAGACGATTCCGAAAGTGAAGAAAGAATAATAGAATCTACCCCTAGAGAAGAACCAAGAGAACCTACTTCCTCTCATTCTTATGCATTACGCAGCCGGGGACCAGTGGAAGAACGTCCCTGGATTCTCCCGACCCCTAGACGAAGTCGAATTCCCAAACGAAAGGCTAGTCCGCCAAAGGAAGGAAATAGCGGTCAATCAAAAGTAACAAGACAGAGTTAATTAAGACAACAGACAAAATTTACAAGAGAGAGAGAGAGTAGATTATAAATCCATTAAACCTCTGTATAACGCGAAAAAAAATCATATTGTCGGAAATAATTAATTCGAATGATAACCATATCATAAAAATAATCATATCAATGTCGGAAATAATTCATGTTAGTATTATGCACTCAGAGAGAGAGAGACTTTTAAATATTATGTGTTCACAAAACGGGTCTTTATCATTGTCAAATCAAATTTCATCGAAAATCACAAGAACCTCCAGGAAACACCCTACATCCTCTACCTTCCATTGAAACTTTCAGCTCCTTAAAATCGATCTTGCTCACTCAGAACAAGCCAGATTTTGGAAAGGCCGGGGTGATGTGAGGGACGAACAGACCCACAATAAAGTGTTATTTTAAATTTTAAGTATTGGAAACTTTAATTCGGTTAAATTCGAACGTTTTATCGAGTTAGGCTAAAGGCCATAAAAATTATTTCCCACGGAGTTTGTTCCTTGTTGAGGCGGATCAAGTTAGTCAGGGATGTGTCACCAGGAACTTTTGATGGAGAAGACATATTGGACGTGCGACCGTTAAAGGCCATCACCTGACCTCATGGAAAAAACCCAAGAGGAATGAAAAAGAGAAAAGAAAAAAGGACCCCGAGGTCAGTCGTCATCCGAAGTCCTTCTACAAAAGTCGTCATCCGAAGTCCCTCTACAAAAGTCGTCATCCAAAGTCCGCCCAACAAAGTCGTCCTCCAGGATTAAAATCGTGACCCCGGATTAAAACTGTAACCCAGGATAAAACCCGTGCACCAAAATCCTGAAGTAACACTGTGACAGAAGTAACACCGTGTCTCCTTAAGAATCTCACCCCACTTCCGTGCTTCCACGCCTCCGAGTTCCAGTTAACGGACAAGAACTAGTGGAAAGACCATTTCAGAGGAGTCAATAGTGTCATCCTACTACAGATCTGCGACCTAGGAAAAAGAAAGGTATTTATCAACCCGCGACTCGGTTGTAAACTCTCTCTCTCGAACGGAATAGTATAATTAAGTCCGATAATATGCCCGATATCTCTGTATTTTCTTTGTTTATTATTAAAATTGTTAGTTGTTAGAAAATATGGAGTCCGAGTAAGTCACTTCCTCGTCTCTCTCCTCACCTCTACTCCGAATCCAATCGCTCACCCGCTACCGCTCGTGAATCTTTAGACTTAACGTC